CACTTTGAACACCCAGAAGCAACATCTCATTCACTTGGAAGGTGTGTTAGATGGTGAGAACGAGGAGGCAAAGGACAGATGTTGCATCTCCTGCACTTGCGTCAACTGTAGGCAGCGGAGGGATTGGTTGGAGCAACTGAACCAGGTTTTGCAGAGGAACAGTCCCTTTCAAAATATTTGCGGGGAAGTTGTATTTGGTGGTAGCATTATGTTAAACATGCCAGAATTGGCAGAGGATAGTCCATTGAATCTAGAGACCAGTGGAGTGGAAAGTAAGGACTCCATTGTAGTTTTGGGAGGAAGAAGAAGGGAGGAGAGCAGATGTTGTGTGAAATTATCGGAGATGTACTGGCTGTGCAAGAACAAGGAAGAGTGGAGGTGAGTGGATGGTCAAACACCACACAGTTCTCTGAGTAAAAGGCTAACGTGGTTGGAGAATAGTGACATTGACTAAGGTGGCCTTGGGAATGTGAGCAGGCAGGAGACCAAGCTAAGGTTTCTTGAGGAAGGAATTTGGACAAAAGTGAGCATAGAACGAATAACACTTTGTAGGAATCTTGAAGGGAAGACAGTAGATTGCTTTTCTAACTGTGCCATATGCACAAAGGATTGAGAGTAGACTTTTCAAGGAAGGGATGATGGCACTTTTTGATATTAAGGAGAACAACTGCTATGGAAAATATGATGTTGACATTAGCCCACATGCAGTGTGGCTGTTGAATTAAAGGATATTGAAGCATCCTTTGTTATTAGGAATGATGTGCAACGTGTCATACAGCTTGAATAATTGCCCTATATAAAGTATAGCAGAAAACAGACTGAACAAAACATTGCTGCGTCATCTGGTCCTGGTTATTAAGGCAGTGTTGAAATGTATTTAAGGTAACTAAAGGATGTGGTGGTTAAGGTTCTCTTTAATATTATTGTGTTGTAATTGAATAGGGAGAAATAAACGGGTTTGACTTCAAAAGAGAACAGTGTGTTTGAAGGGCATGGCTAATTCTAAACATTACCTAATCAGTTAAAGTCCAATCTAAATATTCCATTCCTGAAATGTCAATTCATTGAATCTGTGCGTTATGGAGTAGATGACAAACCCTGCCCATTTATTATACACATTCAGCAATGGTAGAAATTCTTGATATCCTAATTGTTGAAATTGCAAAGAGTTCATCAGATTTCGATATGCTTGTGCATCGGTTCAAACACAGCTCCTGTAATGTTCTGGCTGAATTTCATTTTTAAAGTCTTGTACCTTTTTCCACAGTTATCAATTCAGGCCTCTGTTGCATTAGAAGAGGGCTGTGTTCACGACGTTTCATCTCCTGTTTTCTGCTCTTCATTTTTCTCTTCCCTACAAC